GTATGCTAACAAATACACTTGTAATAATTCTTTTCTTTAATAAAACTCTAAATACTTAACCCAGAAATTATACTTTGCCTCTAAAATACATTTGATCGATAAACCTTCAGAAGCTCTCCATAAATCGTATCATAAAAGTCTTAAAGCTAAATCCTTTGTTAATCTTGCGTTAATACTAATTTTCAGTCGTTAGTATCGTAAGATAACATTAGCTTATATTTTATCTGCATGTGTGACAGACAAATAGTTGATCAGTTTATACAGAATATTTCTCCCAATCAATCAGTCAAATGTTAGGCAATCATAATTACTGTTCTATTCCTTAATCTTAATCTAATGCCTTTTAATTGATTGAGATAGTTTATAAATAGTAATAAATTATTTTGCTTTACGTACTGAGATAAAATAAATAGTTTGTCTGTATTATTTTTGCAAATTGAGGGTTGAAGATTCATAGTTTCACTAGATACATTCTTTAACAGCTTTTCATAATGATGAAATGTCAATGAATATGACTTATCCTCAGTATTATCTTTGAAACATAAGCAATTTAATGATTCTTTATCAAATCTTTAGGTATAAGCTGATATCCATATCTACGCTACCTGTTAAAGTATGTTTTTTTTGACTCTATATTAGTAATCTTTACCAATTTCTAACAATTAAAACAAATAGCCATTCTGCTCTTATGAACACTAGATCTACAATAGTTATATGAAATATCTTTTGACTGGTAAACTTGTCTGAATAATGTGAAAAGGCAGAATACATGATAAAAACTTTCTTTTTTCTCTTCAGTAATCAATGCTTGCAAAGCAACTCTTACATGAATAACCTATTGCTGGGGAGTTTCATGAGATCTAATGACAGATAAATTATTATGTCAATACACTTATTAGGCCTTGCTCTGTTAATATGAGTTCCTGACATATTTAACAGTTTATAACAATTTTATAATTATAAGTAGATTATAATAGATATAATGATTTTATTGATTTTAGCTGATTTAGCAATATTATACTTTAATAAATTCAAATTCATTTTTATTCGATTGTTTGGGTGAAAACAGTTTCATATTTTTTTGATTCAGCTAAATTAGATCTGATTACCATAGACACTAAACTATAAAATTTGCTCTCCCTAAATTCCTGCCAGTTCCTCGATAATTCTAGGAGAGTTTTAGGAGCTGGTGAGTTTCTATAAATCATGAGATTATCAGCCAATCAGCACATCAATTTTTCATATACACAGGTTAAAAAAGGATATGGTATATTAATACTTTTTATTTATACGTAATTACTAAAAAATGAAAATTCTAGACATACATGTCCGTTTGGCGCAGTAATGTGGCGCAGTAAATGAGCTAACTTCGTTCTACTTTCAAAACTCCAGTTATTACACGCTCAACATTACTATCAAATAAATTTAAAATAAACCTCGCAGGAAAAGATCTAATCCGTCCTATTTTCAATTTACTAATACTAATAAAAAGTTTATAGATCTTTTCACCCCTTCCCTCCTCTTTCGTAAAGCTTCATCAGAAAATTTGTTTCAGGGATTTGTTTCCTAATTTCATCTTTAACAAGAGCACAAGTCCCTTCCTTACCATAGCTGGATTCAACTTCTTGTATTGCAAATATAAAGCTTCTCCAAAGTCAAAATATCGATTGATGACATTTCGCGTTACATCTTCATTTTTGTCTCATCATATCAAAGAGATATAAAACTTCTTTCGGCTTGGCGCTCTGGTATTTGATGAAGCATTCGACGCATTCGATTCTTCCAAGGCTTCACCAGAATCAGGGATAATAGTTGTCAACTCTTCAATAAGCTTTTTCGGCATAGTAGAACCATCATTCTTATCGGATACCTTCTTTTTCTTGCTGAAGGATTTTTTGGCAGTAGATTCCCGAGTGCATTTTTTCTGTGCGGTACTCAACTTCTGAGCATTAGTTACCATATTATTATCATCAATTTTCATGTCAGCTGACAGGCATATAGGGTACAGTTTTCATGGATTATCGATGCAATTGTAATGTACGATATGCTTGCAAGTTAAATACACAAGCGGTTTCGGGTTGAGGGAGAAATCGAAGAAAGTCTATTGTGAAACCCGATCCAAATGAAGAATGGAGAGAAATAGAGCTCGATTCACAGAAATTTAGAGTTTCATCTCTCGGAAGAATTCTGTCAACAAATGGTGAAATCACCCAAGGATCATTGAATATAGGATTTCTTGTTTATTGCTTGATAGCATTAGTGTTTTGTCCTAAATCATATTGATGGAAATCCTATCAACAGAGGACTTCGTATTACAGTAAACTTTAGATTATTTTCAGACCACAGAAATCATGTGCCTATAATACGAAAAAGTTCTGGAAAATTCGCGATTTTCTATGAAAATGATTTTAAAGGAAACAGTACTTTTTTTTAATTTCACGCTTGCTTTATGTTTCTCTTGCTTCCTACACCTTGGAACAATTTTTATCAAATAATGAATAAGGCTCAGAAGACATGTTCGTTCAAGTGATCCGAGAGACCAGACGGGCCTCTAAAATTAACCAAGTATTTAAGTGATGCTTAAGACTGTTTTAAAAATAGTAAAAAAGTATGGTTAACGACTACATACAATAGATTTGCACGAAAATTGATGAAATATTGACGCAAAAACAAATCAAACCATTGTTAAGATTACCCTTCCTGAGCTAGATAGATGTGATGTAAATGTACTACAGGCGATATTTGATAAATACGACGCGGAAATGATTGAGATGGACTTGTTTATCAAAGTAAGTTTTATTTCAAGCTACATATCATTGATTTGAATCTGACCACTTTCTATATTAGATTGACAGAGAACATAAGACAGAAGTTCAATTAAATTTGGCAGTTTCAGGCAGGATACATAATCAAAATTGGTTCATAGGATAAGGAACATCTTGTATGATGTTGGGAAATAAATATAATCCAGATGTTGGTTTCTGGTTTAATAAACCAACTTATGCACAATTGCATAAACCATACGCTAACGGCTGTCCGCCTCCAGATATATGTATTGAGGTAGTTTATTAAATTCTTGCTGAAAAAATTTGAATTTTGCTCATCAGATCTAAATACTTGACAGATATTTTATAATCGTGACCTGATCGTGAATTCGCATATCAAAAACTTGCTATAATTCAGCAAAATTTTTCTTGGATAGAGTTTATTGGAATCGCATTACCCGATAGTCAAGGTCCTTTCCATCAAAATCCGAATCCTGGAGTAATATCTGTCCTTGCTACTCCTCAAAATTCTCCAAATGTCAGACCTACTTGTGCACTATATTTTGTTTACTGGGATGGTACTAATTTGGTTTACTATAGAATAGATTGGAATGAACATTTGGTATTAGGATGTGGATGGACAATGGAACTAAATGATGTACTTGATCTGATTTTGACGCCATGATCTATGAATGAAGTTATTATGGTGTGCATATTTCCAAACATGATTGTGAAATTTTAAAATAATTATATTTTTTTTTCATAAATACTGTTGTAGATGAATAGATAGTAGATTATACATTACAAGTTATACAAATAAAAATTCTATGCATATGCGTGCTTGTAAATTCTGCAGAATGAATTATTCTTATTATTACTATTTTGTAACAGTTATGCACAATCGATTATGAGGCAAAGACATACAGGGATATGAAATCGGAGGATAAGATTAGCGATTATTTTATTAAGGTCCTTCTATGTTTGATAAGCATATTCACATTCTTGTAGAATCTGTCGTGGACAAGGAAAATAAGACATAAATTTATAAGATATAAACAAGCAAAAAAAACAAGATTCTTTTATAATTCTGATTATAAAAGAAAATCATATGACTAGAATTTCGGCTGGGTCCTGCCAAAACAATAGCCAAGAATTTTTTTAGACAGATTATTTTTATTATATAAATTCATACAATAAAGATATTTTTTTCGTATTTCCCTCCTTTGAAGCATAGCTTCTGCAGGAAATAATCTAACAGTTATAGCAAAATAATTTTTCAGAATTGATATCTGTTTCTTTTTTTTGAGTAGACAAGAAAAAAAGGGATATATAAAATATAATAAATTTTTGTGAAGTTGCATGGGAAAATACAGTCAGACCCAAAGCCTGTCTCGAAAGACAATGACTGCTTCTATTCTTTGGCTCCCTAACTATCACTATTATCACTATTGCTACTGCTACTATTGTTACTAGAATCCATCCCTTCTCTATTAACCCATGTTTCTATTTTATCTAAGGAAGTAGTCTTCAGTGTTTTTTGATGGTGGTAGAAACTCATCAAAGTTGCAAAGCTTAAATGTATTTCTTGAGAAATTACATTGTATAACTGTGTATGGAAGCACCCCTCCCTTCTTCTTCTTTGATTAAATAAGGCTATAAATTCTACCCATAAAGTTTGGATTTCATCAGAATATTCCGAATATTGGCTGGTAGATATATGACTAGAAGAGTATCGAGATTAAAGATGGTACAGCAATTGATTTCAAATTTACAAAATGTTATAACATAAGCTAAAATTAGTTGCAACATATGTTGCAACATTATAAGTTGCAACATATATAGGTTAAAACTAATTGCAACGTAAGTTGCAACATTAAAAGTTGCAACATATTAATTACAGTTCCCATCTTTAATCGAGATGAACCTAAATGATAAATAATAAAAAAGTTAGTATCTATTTACCCTTGAGGATATATGCAAAAATAACTAGAAAGAGCAGAATATTTCCTACCTTGTGATATGCAGTCCCATTCTGCCTCTCCTTTTATTTTTTGTATTTCATTATTTAATGCCAATATTGATTTTTCAAGTTTGGCAATTTGTGGGGTCAGAGTTGGAGAGAGATATTTGTGTAAAAATAATATACCCCCTGCAAAGATTATATACATTATGATATTCCCTGCGAAAATACTTTGGAGTGCTTCTATTGTTAAGACACTCTGGGTTAGCATTTCATAAATTACAATTACAATGCTGAAGAGTACGATCAAAAACATATCAGAGTTTGAAAGTATTTTGGGATGAGAGATTGATTTGAGAGCTTTATTAGAAAGATTTGAATAAGATTTATAAGATATATGCAAACCTTTATTTTTTGATTTGCGATAATTATGCTTAAAAAAGCTTTTAGTTTTGTTTGGAGCAGAGTATTTGTTATAGTATTTGGAGGATTGATTAAAATTGCTTTTTGCAAAATTAATATGTTACTTTTTTATTTGATTCTCTTAGCAGACACCACCACCATATCTAGTATTTTTATAAAAATTCTTTTGCAGTTGATCACTATGATCATCACAAAACATGAAGGCTACTATAACAAATATGGCAATCCTATCTATTAATTTATTGATCCCGATTCTGAAATTAATTTGTATTAATATGCAGGCCTCTAATAACACCCTTTTTGTCAAGTCTTCCAGGCAAAAAGTTTACCATTATTTTTCCTCACTAAAATGGTTAGGTTATCTCCAACAGAAGCAAGGATTCAAGAGAAATTGTTATAAAAGCACAATTTGTCATAACGAATTTGGAATGCGAATAGTATTAACCAATAACCCAATTTAGATGAGGATTAAACGACTGGATTCAGTAGGTTCTGGAATACTATAATGTCAAATTTTATGAAAATCTGATCACTAGATGCAGAGTTATTAAGACAATCGTAAGATCTATTATTTTGGATATAACTACGAAAGAATCTTGTGAAGGTAATATTGCCAAAGTGGCGTGTGAAATGTTGGTGACCTGTCAACCTACAAAATACTAGTTTCTGGTTCTGGAAACCTAAAGAAGGTGAGAAATTAGTAGGTTATTATGTAAGAATTCATAGCTACCCAGTGAGTCCCAAAATGTATTATTAGCACTATATGAGAATTGAAATTTCAATCATCTACGTAACATAATCCAAATGTTGTAGAAATCCCAATCTAATTCGACCAGATGCAGGATACCGAAAGCTTCAAAACAAGCTAAGATGTGAAGTATTTTGATCACAGGAAGCCGTAACAGCTTTGACAGTTGGGAAATTTTACTATGCAATATTATGAGTTAATAGTTAATTAACAAATCATAGATCGATTTTGTGTAATGCGAATACAAAGGAACCATTACTCCCCGATGCTACGATTATCACAAAACATGAAACAAATATGGCAACCCTAATGTCTATTAATTTGCTGATTTCGATGCTAAAAAAAATAAACCTATATGATAATTCAGTATACAATCCATCTAATAATTCTCCTAGTCAGATACCAGAGATATAATAAGGCTTATCATTAGTGAGGTTTTTCTTTCACATTTTCCATCACGATAATAATATCCTCTATCATAACCATTGTATCCATTATCATACCTATCATCATCATCTGATCCATATGGTATCTCTTCTTCAGAATCACTAGAATCATTTTCATCGTCTGACTTAACTGATTGCGAAACAACCCCTTCATTCGTTCTTTTTACTTCCTCATCTTCAGAATAAAAATACACATTATCATCATTGTCTGCCTTAGCAATTATTTCAGATTTTTTAGAATTCTTCTCAATCAAATCATTTGCTCTTTCTTCTTTCTTAAAATAATCCATAACATCAGATGTATCACTAAAATTATCATCTGAGTCATGAACTGAAGTAGTAGCTACTGTCTTAGGGATTTTATTCAAAGGACTAGTGGTTATTTTCGATTTGACCTGTTCTATAATGTATTTAATTTGAGGGTTAATGAGCCTTAAAATTTTGTCAGCGCTACAGGTGACCCGTTGAATCATATAGTCCGGTATATCTTTAATCTTTTTCAGAGTTAAAGGGTCATATTTATACCCAAATAATCTATTGATTTTTCTCGTTTTACAGGTCATTACTTGTAAATATCCAATTAAAAACGTCTGCGAGATATGGTTTTATTTCATTATAAATCTGCTTTCTTTCAGTCTGATCCATAAGTTTTTTATTATTAGACTTAAGCTCCGCAACTTTATCTTTAAACTTTTCAGAGAATAAATACTATAATGTAATCTCTGATCACTTTGCTACGATCATTTTATTTCTTGCAATATTCGCCTAGCAGAATAAATTAGCAAGTTTTTTGATGCTTAATGATCTGGAAACTATGGTTTTAGAAGAAGAAAACTTTATAGTCTGGAGTGAATTGTCAGATGAGAGTAGCTCTTTTAACAAATGTTGTACAAATTTGGTTATTATACTTAAGGAAGCCTGAACATTCCCACTATTTTTGGTCAGTAAGATATGTCCCTTTGGGACACCCCTGGTAAGTTATCAGAAAATTTTCTTTTCCCGATCTTTTCGTCTCTATATTTCTATTTATCTCTGGGCCAATGTTGAGAGGAGTATAGGCAATTTCTTCCTCTTGTTTATGTCTCTCATGTGATGATTTTGAATTTCAGAAAACCTCTTAATTTTGTTAAGGTATTTTATATCACGTGATAATTCAGAATTTTCAGGATACCTGTTAACGGGTTTTATATCATGCGTCATTTTTGAATCTACCATGAGAATTTCTTCCTGAGAAGTATCTGCAATAACTGATTGAGGAGCAACCATCACAATTTCTGATACATAAGTAATATCAGAGATGCTATTCTGATTAGCTAATTCATGCTGAAGTTTCTTCTTCTTATTACATTGCCTAATTTCATTACTAATCTTTTTCTTATGCATTTCATCTAAGAAAACATCTGTTTCCTTGTCTTCAAGTAATGAAGTATCCACCAATAGTTTCTCGTGATGCGTTACCATTGGCATCTGATTTGCAACCAAATTGAAGTTAGATGAATTATTGTTAAAAGAATTATCATTTAGAGTCTGCTTTTGTTCTGCTTTCATAATTCTACAGTACGAAACCTCTATAATTGACAATTAAATGAGCATAACTAAAATTTGTAAAGCATAAAAACTAAAATTAAATTCAAAATGGTATCCAATAGAAATGATAAACAATACTAAAGTTTTCTAATTATTGGCTAATTTTTATATAAATAAATATTTAAAAAGTTATTTCGATTCAAAGTAATACCGATTTTACTATGAAATTAACAAATTGAGACTATGACAAAATTGTACGATGGTACAATTTCTATATCAATAGAAAGACCTTTAATAGTTGTATCAATCTGCATCTTTTTTTATTGTACATGCCTTTAACGAAAAAAGTTATAATAGCGAAAAAAAGACTGCGAAGATGTACTCAAAATATTAAAACTGGATAATTTGAAAAAGTTTTAAATGTTTCTGAATCAGATTTTATTTCCTTTGAACATTCAGATTTTGTTTCTCTGAAAATGAAAGCTTTTCAAGTGAATCGGATGATAATTTTGTAGTAATTTACAACAAACAATAAATAATCTTGGGGAACTTGAGTTTCTTTGTGAAGTTAAAATATTTCT